CTCTCTTTGCAAACTTATCTTTGAAGTAAGGAAGGCTCTACTTTATCGTTATTTTACAGTATTTATTTTGTGCTCATTAGAGTATTGTTACATGAATATTTTGTAAAAATGTGTGATTGAGATATCTATTGTGTGAATAATGACTGAAAAGATGCTTGTTTGGTTGTTTGGATTAAATGGTTGGTAGATGCTTGTATGCATTATATGATGAGTACTTAATGTAAAATATTAATAAACTTGCTGAGTGATTATAATGTGACTTTATGAAATATGTCTGGGTGAAATGATATGATAAAATGAAATACTGATATGAAAGATTTAGTAATTGTAACTACGATAAAAAAAGGTTTGAGTGGAATGGATTTAGTCTGGAAGTGTTTTACTAAGCACGATCTTATAAATGGGAAAAAGGATAAATCTGAGAATGACATTAAAAGTCGAATATGGATTGGGTCTACTGTGAATAGTTATAGAGATATATTGGAGGTATAAAGTCCGGAGACGATAAAAATCTAGGAAAAACATAAGGTGTTGAGTAACATTCGTGTATGTGTACATACTCTTTCTGAGAGCGAATGCATCACATGACCTCACACTTATTTTTTGACTAGACTCTTGATTATACCTTTGCTAAGCGACCCGACTATTGTATACATTGTATCTGTGTGCATGAACTAACCGGTGACTATTTTCCTAGTGAAGTAAGACCTCAAGAAATAATGGAGGTATCGATATCTGTTATCACAATGCACTAGAAGTGCATATTGGAATGAGAGAATATATAATTGATAATAAATTGTTGAATGTTACGTGATGGGAATATGTTTGTAATATGAATTTAGCGTGAAATTGAATATATTGTATTTATACTGTAAACTATGATTCTGTGATATAATGTTTTGCAAATGATAGAATAGACGCTCATCCTTACTAATATTTTCAGGAAAACAAAAATGACGGAGCTTCAGGAAAGAGTTAGATTAATAAATAGTTCAGTACATAATAGACTAAATTTTATATTCAATGAATATCAAAGAATATGTTATTTTAAATTTGTTGTTCTTGTGAAAGATGAACCTAGGACTTTTGTTATGTTATAAATGGATTTCTTTTGTAGTATCTCGTTTGATTTTTCTAGGAATAGAATATATTAAACCCTATGTATCTATATGTATAGTGGTAATATTAGAACTCCGGCAGCCTTCACTTATCTATTTACCTATCACAACCACGATCATCTCGGAAGACCGTCCAGATGGACCTTTGAGTGAGTGAATGGCATAGAGGTCATTCAGGCGATCGCTACCTTAGATCAGATGATGACTTTAATTCTAAAGATCTGATAGAGATAAAGAGTTAGCATAGAATCAACTAGTACCAAAGATTCTCAGTGTTGGAATAGATTTTGGAAACTGCTCTAGAACTTAAATTTGTTTATATGATGTAAATATTATTTTAAATCCCATATATTTTGACAAATAGTCTGTAAATTATTATACTTGAAATAAAGAATGCATGTTTTGTCTTTTAAATTGAAAATTTGACTATGTTTTATTAGAGTATTTAAAAGTATTGTTATTCCATTAATATTGCAAGAATATAGAAATTTTCATTTACAATAGACCCATTAATAAAGTGACCTTTATTAACTTGTTATAATAAGATTAATAAATTCTGCTTTGTGATATTTATTATTAATTATTGTTATTATTGTACCATTAATATTACAAAATATGAAAATTTTGTATAAATAATTCTATCTTAAAGAAAACTTCATTGATTAGCCATAATAAAGTTAATTATACATAAAATTTGTATTTTATATCAAATTATAAAGAATAAAATATACATTATACAAATTTAAAATTTTAAGGTGTTACAACATCATATTTAAAATTTAAAAACAAATATGGTTAAAAGGCATTAAATCTGCGTCAATTTTGATTTAACTGATATTATAACTTTTTAATTCTTTATAAAAATATAGTGTGTGTAAATATTTTGCCTAAATTTATCACTACTTGTTTTAAAATTTGTAAAATTTACTTTTAAAAAAAAATATTGGTACATAACATTCTTGATATATGTTTAATTTATCAATTGGGGTTTGCTATTTAGATAAACTAATTAGAAAATCTTTTTTCTTAACAAACATATATTTATTAGGATATAATATAAGACAACAAGTTATATAGCGGTAAGAGTGTAAGTTGTGGTTTATAAATTACAAATAATTTTTTTATTAATTTATTTTGGATTATTATTTAGATATGAGTTTTTTTTTTCATTTGCCACACCATAATTTTAAATAATTTTGAATCATATTTTAAAAAATTAAGCAGAAAATCAGAAATTCTTTTTGAAAATATAATTTTTAATAATTATAAATTCATCAAAAATAAAAATACTTTAATAAAAAATAACATTAAACTTATTTAAAATAATGCCCCTAAGTTTCTTTTTCAAAAACAAGTATAAAGGGTTCGTTTTACCAAATTTTAGCTGATTATCCACCTTTCTAAACATTCTATTAGAAGAATTCCCATTACGAGAAAACTAAAATTATGAAATCCCCTCCTCCCTTCCCTTATCCGATTGTTATACCCACCGTCTCTAGATGCTGTTGTGTCGCCACGTCATACTCAATTTGCTTCTGCATACACCTCACAGCAGAGACAAAAGATTCAATGATTTTAGCTTATAAAATTTATTCAATTTTCAAACTAAAATAAAAGGAAAAACAGAGAAGGGACAAGTACCCGGAATGCTCGGAGAATCCCATGATTTAAATAAAAACGTTACAATCGCATGATTTTGATCATTCATCTAGTCAACATATATACATCGTTACCTGCAGTCACGAAGCAAGTTCTCACCGGCCACCAACGTGGTCACAGCTGTGACGTTGTTGACTGTTACGAATGTCACGTGCCCTTTGCACCGTCACACATGACACAGCTTCTATCTCTTACGCGTTACTCGCTCTTGCCAATTCAATTTCCCACCCCCCAACAACTCTGAATATTCCGTTCTATTTTTTCTTTTTTTTTTTCAATTCTTCCCCTTTTCAACGGTGAAAGGGAGATTCTACAGGTGTCGCTTGTTCTAATTTATTTGTGTATGCGATTGCGATTGGTAACATTATTGTATTGCAAGAAAATAGTGTTACTTTCACGAATAATTATATTTTGTAACATATTTAATATTTTTATTTTATTGTATTATTATATATATAAAAAATCATTTATGTTAGGTATGTATTATCTTTGATTTTTTTTATAAGTGTTATAAAATTTTATTAATTTCAATATAAAAATAAATACTTTTTAAAATATATTAATTTTAAGTTACTTCTATATTAATAATTTTTTTAGTGAAATATTCACATTTTACTCATAAAAGTGGATATATTTATTTATTTAATATTTACATACTAATTTGATTATTAATACTGATAATTTTTTTAATAGAATATAAATTTATAATATATAACTATTTTTTTATTAATTTTGATGAATTATGTATTCTTTTAAGGAACAAATTCATTTGATAAAACGATGATTTATGTATTTATTTTTTATAAATAAGGTTAAAGGAAGTATTTAATACAAAACATTACAATTATTTGAATAAAAAATATTAAATTATTCATTTCGTATTTAGAAAATTTACCTTAATATTAATTTAACTATTAAAAATATAAGAGGTTTACTAATAAATAATTTTAAAAAATTATAATATAAAATTTTAAAAACATAGAAATGAATAAATGAAAAGATAAATTTTTTTAATAAAGTAATATATTAGAAGAATTAAAAAGACTAATTTATAGATATTATTAATAGTTTTAATTTTCTTTTATTTTTGTTAAGAATATTTTAATGAGAATATTAAATTATCAAATTTCTCAAAAGAAAAAAAATAGTATTTCGAAGCAATATGTATTGAGATTTTTACTATATTTCACTTTGCCCTGTATCTATTATTCTCTTAATGGGTTAGGCACTAACGATCTTTTGCAATTTCTTTTATTTTGTAAAATTTACTTAAACAAATAAAAAATTGCTTAAATAGAAAACTGCATGTCAGTTTATAAAAAGTTGGGGTGTCCGGAGGAAGCTCCGCCATTGTTGCAGAGTCTTCTAGGCAATGTCGTGAAGCTGCTCATTCATTACGTGCTTTCCAGTCTGCATACGTTAATGCGGGTACGGTTGTTGCGGTGGTTACCTCAGCTTCTACTTTCAAAATTATTTAATTTCGCCATTAAAGTTAGTATAGGGGTGTTCAAAATCGAATAAAATCATTTTTAAATTATTAAATTGATTAAAAAATTATAAATTAATCATTTTTTAGAAAATCACATTTCATATCAGTTGATTTGATTTTTAGTTTTTATTCTTAAAATTGAATAAATTATAATAATTATATTATTTTTATTTAACATTATTTTTTTACTTATAATATTATATAAATTTTATTTATTTCAAATTCTCGTGGTGGCTCGATATATTTAGGGTCAAAGGAGGTTTATCTAGGGAAAATAATTCATAAAGGAAATAAAAAAGAAGAAGTTAAAGTGCCTTTTCTCTTGCTGTCTTTTTATTTTGAATTTTTGTACGTATTTATTTTCTTTTATCTTCTCCCCCGATGGATAAGCAATTAACGATAAAGTCACCGAAATTTGGTAATCTGTAAAAAAAACAACTCAGGTGAATGATGACAGGGTAAATGAACAAAGGGAGAATAGAATTATCTGATTGGTCAAAAATGAAAATAAAGAAATAGAAGGAGGGTCCAATGCCAAAGAAGCAACAAAGCACGAGGAAATAGACAGAAAGAAAGAAAGAAAGAAAGAAAGAGGAAAAATAATAACCAAACAGGAATATCCAAAAGCATATGACAAAGGGGAAGAATATTCGGTGCGGAGATCCCGTTGGGTGATTTTGGGTGCAAAATAAATAAATAGCAATCCCCAACCCAAACCGTGGTTCTCATAGCCATCATCATCGTCATCGCAACAACATCCACAATCCTCTCCATCTTTCTTCTCTCGTAAGACCCAAATGGCTCTCAAAGCCGTCCACGTCTCCGACGTCCCTTCCCTCGACATCGTGCCGGAGAATGCCTCTTTGACCCTCTTCTCCACCCGCTTCTCCAGCGGTACGTAAAAAGCCAAACATTTCCTTTTCGTTTTCTTTTTCATCAATTTCAATTTCATTATTAATTCAAGACGTGGCATCAGGGGTGGAGATGAGTCGAAGTGGCTTCAAGATGCCGAAGTTCGTTGCGATCGGACACAGAGGACACGGCATGAACGTATTGCAGTCTTCCGATCGAAGAATGAGAGCCATCAAGGAAAACACCATCGCCTCCTTCAACGCCGCTTCCACTTTCCCTCTTGATTTCATTGAATTCGACGTTCAGGTAACCAATCCATTCCAAACCAAACCGTTCTTTTCTCTCTTCTTCTGTAACAACCGCATTCAGGAATGGAAAACAATTTTTTCCTGTTCTGTTCTGTGTCGCCGCGTATGTCATCCGGACACGTGTTTTTCTTGTCCGATTTTTGTTTCTGCCCGTATGGCGTTTCCGTAAATAAGTTGTGTTGTTTGGGCTTTTAGGTTTTCACATTGAATCGGTACTGATTGGCTACTTGCTTGGTTTTTTTTTTTTTTTTTGGTTTTTTTTTCGGTGGGGATTTTTTTTATATAAAAAAATTGAAGAAAAAGAGAGATCAAAAAGAGTTAAAGCAAAAATGCACGTGTGGTTTTTTGTAGGTGACAAAAGATGACTGCCCAGTCATTTTCCACGACGACTTCATTTTCTCCGAGGAGAATGTAAGTTCCTAATTTTGTTCTTCTTCTTCTTGTTTTGTCAGTGCCATTGTTTTATTTGGTTTTTGATTTGACGCGTATTGGTTGGTTGGGGTGTGCTTTTGCAGGGTAGGGTGTTTGGGAAGAGAATCACGGAGCTGAGTGTGTCTGAGTTTCTTTCCTATGGTCTTCAAAGAGAGGACGGAAAGGAGGGAAAGGTTTTGCTTAGAAAAAACAAAGATGGGAAGATAATGGAATGGGACGTTGAGCAAGATGACTCACTCTGTACTCTCCAAGAAGCATTTGTCAACGTGGAACCCACTCTGGGGTTCAACATTGAGTTGAAATTCGACGATTACATTGTCTATGAACAAGACTATCTCGTCCATGTCCTTCAGGCCGTCTTAAAGGTGTGACTTACGCCAGATTTAATAATTTTAACTCCTACTGTCGTAGTTTTTACTATTTTCTCAGCACTCCTATGAATATATAAAGGGTGTGTCAATTAATTATAGTTATACAGAGTTCTATTTTATTATATAGTTCTTTTCCCTAGTGTGTTGTGGTTGTGATGTTTACTATTCTAAACTTGATGAACATTGTGGAACAGGTTGTGTTTGATTATGCCAAGGAAAGGCCAATTATCTTCTCAACTTTTCAGCCAGATGCTGCAGTAGTCATGCGGAAATTGCAAAGCGATTACCCTGTTAGTTCTCTGCGCCTTATGTTTTTTTTCCTGAGAGTGGGTTTCGTTTTCTTAACCAAAATAAGATTCTAATGTGGCGGTTTGTTTGGAACCAGGTGTTCTTCTTGACAAATGGAGGATGTGAAATTTACGAAGACGTTAGAAGGAATACCTTAGAGGAGGCCATGGAGCTATGTTTAAAGAATGGGTTGGATGGAATTGTTTCTGAGATTAAGGGAATATTTAGAAATCCTGGTGCAGTAACCAAGATCAAGGAGTCCAACCTTTGTCTCCTTACGTATGGCAAATTAAAGTATGTGTTTCGTCCTTTTAGAACATTTTTTTTGTTAAAGTAATGTCTAATGTGATATTCTTGCTTATGATTTTTATTGGCTTGGCATTAAACAGCAATGTGCCAGAAGCAGTTTACATGCAACATCTAATGGGAATCGATGGGGTGATTGTGGATTTGGTCAAAGAAATAACTGACGCAGTTGCGGATATGATGAAGCCAACAATGGCTGCTAATGAAGAGGGTTTGACTGAAGAAGGGACTGGGAAGGTGGAGGTGCACTCAAAGCCTAAGTTTTCTCAGCAGGAGCTATCATTTCTTTTGAAACTCATTCCACAATTGATACAACATTAAAGCGAAGAAGAGGAGTTTCTTGCGGGTTTTAATTGATTTGCCTTTCCACAAATATATCTTCAGTCTAGGAGTTCTTACGACTATTTTATTTTCTATTTGTACAAACACTAGACCTGTGGAGAGGTCCATAAAAGCTTAACCCTTGTACATATGTGTTGTTCTTTTCTCTTGAGGATGAAGGAAAGAATGATTAAGTATGAACCCATTGTTCGTTGGTCCTCCATTCAAAAATTGTGGACAGAGGCTCTCTTCATTGTAACAATATTACACGGTTGGCATTCATGTCAACCATTCTAATGTAAAAAATGGCCGGAAGACTCTCCATTCCAGTTTGTAAAGGTGATGATATTAATTGTACAATAACAACGATAAAAATGATCATTATACGACAACAATTATAATTACAGCAATAACGGGCTTTGAAGTTAATTGTAGTTTTGAGGTGTGAGAGGATTAAGACAGTAAAAAAGTACGTTAAATATTTTAGCTTCAGATTGATGTACCAAAAGAATTTTCTCATAATTTAACAAATAAAAAAATAAATCAATTAAAATTTTACTTTATTTTTTCATCTTTATATGGTTGCGCATGTTCCACACTCATAATTAACAAATCAAAACAACCCAAGGAAAAACAATCTGAATTGTAATAAACTTGAAATGGAATTTTGTGAAGCAATCAAATTTAAATTTATTCATTTACGTAATGCAAAATATTCAATTTAATAAGCTTTTTTTTTCTTCCTCCACAATAATAAAAGTTTAACATGATTTCTTTTGCATAATTGTACATAATATGCAATTTGAAAGCATAAACATAACTATGGAACGTTTTTGTGCAATATGAAATCTTACAAATACAAAAATTTAGGACTTGTTTGTTTTCTCTTTCTGAATAGAATTTTTTATTTTTAAAAATAAAAAACAAAATAACTTCTTTGTTAATATAAGTTTTAAAAATAATTTTTTATTTTCAATTTTTAAAACTAAAAAACAGAATTACTATTTAACTAAAAACATTTTTAAAAACTAACTTATCAAACAATTTGTATTTTTATTTATTTTTTCTAAAATTTGTTATATAAAATTGTTTTAAAATGTAATTTTTATAAATTAAAAATCAAAATTAAATCAAACAAGTCTTTAATGTCTATTTTTTTAGTTTAATACAGTTGTTGGTGGGTTTAGTATCGAAGTACATTGTATCGTGTAACTAATATTTTTTTTTTATATCAAATGACAATGTGAAGGACTTGATCCTTGATAAGAACATTTTGTAATGGGCAAAAATCTTTTGTTACACTTTCTTTCCATGCAAGAAGATAAGTCGTTGAGAAAAGAGTCAGAATTTATAAATTTCTACAAATATTAAAAGTGTGCATTGAGTTGAATTTATTCAAAAAACTGAAGATTGTTTCTACCTGTTTTATGTGAAAAATCCTCTCAATAAAGAGATTGATCATCCTAAATCAAAATTACAAAATAAATTAATTTGGTTTGAGTTTGAAAATAAATTGAGAATGAGAGTGACCATGTTTGAGTTTTGTGCTAATATAATTGTGAATGATGTAATTGATGATAAAAGTAAAGAATAAGGTATTTTTCTTGAGAGAAAAAATGTTATTAAATCTAATAAAACAAGTGAATTAATTAATTTTAAAAATTATATTTCAGATTTTTTAGTCTTTTAATAATATTTAATTTTTACTATATTTTAAAAAATTATTATATGTATTAAATTAATAACTAATTTTTATTTATATTAATTTTTAATTATATTAAAATTTAACTGTTAAATTATCTTATATTATCTTTATGATTATATATATCAAATTTCATATAATTTAAAAATTTATAAGTATGTTACCTAAAATTTAATATTTACTTATATTTTAAAAATATATTATCTGTTACAATAAAGTATTGTGTGAATAATCAATTTTGTCCAAACTACTTTTTAAAATAATAATAAAAATTTAAAATTAGAGATAATGGTTAAATTTTGTAGGAGGTTAAGATAATAGATAAAAATTAATTTAAAAATTTAAAATTTTAATTTTTAAATTTAAAATATGTAGTAGATTAATGGATAAAAATTGACTTTAAAAAAATTAAAATGGTCAAAGAAGTGTAAATTTTTAGGAGAGTGAATGAAATAGTAAAGAAAATGATTAATGGTCATTTGAAAATAAGAGATTGTGGAGATGATGGAGCCTTTATTTAAAAATAAAATATTATAAAAAATAATATTGATAATATAATCAAAAGTGTGAAGAGATAAAAAGAATATTGCTTGATGCACTTTTGTTAGAAATTTTAGTTCACTCTATAACCTTTGTTTTTTGTCCTTCCTTCTTGTTGGCTTTTGTAAGATTTAAATTGCCTTGTCTTTTCTTTCTCACCTCAGTAATGGTTGTTTTCTAAGAATATGTACTTTAAAAATGATGAATTTTTTTCACAGTTTTTTCTACTCTCAAAATTTTCCTCTTCTTCTATGAGGACACTTGCCTCTTATTTATTACTCCTTCTCTGTAAATCCAAAATTGTTTTTAATATTATTTTATTTTTAAATAATAGCTCTATCATTTTCATAATCTCTTATTTTTCAATGACTACCAATCAATTTTTCTCTACTATCTCACCCATCTTAAAAATCTACACATTATTTTCACTATTTTTTAATTTTTTTAAATTCAATTTTTATCCACTAATCTACTACCTATTTTAAATTTAAAAATTTAAAATTTAAAATTTGATTTTTTAAGTTTTTATCTATTATCTTAACCTACTACAAAATCTATCATTATCTTTAATTTTTAAATTTTATTTTATTATTTTGGAAAAAGACTCAAATAAAATTGGCTATTCACAATTGTTCTATTTAATAATTTCTTATTAAATAATATAAATAATAAGATTTTTCATATTATTATATTAAAAAATTGGTAAAGAAGTGAATTAATTTTATCTATAATTCTACATAACACAAGAAATCTAAAGATGAAGAAAACATTGAGCGTAGAGTATGAATATAATAGGTGCCAATTAGACTCTAAGTTTTGACTGAAAAATAAAAGTGCTAATCAAATTCTAAGCTTTGTTAGAAAAGAAAAGAATTGGTTAAATTCTCAACTTTGACAAAAGTAAAGGTGTCAGTTAGATTTTGAATTTTAGCAAGAAAGTTAAGGGGGTCAATTATGTTCTAAATTTTTTTACTTTTACTTACAAAGTAAAATGGAGGGAGACCAATTAGGTTTTAGACTTTGAAAAAAAGTGAAGGTGTCAGTCAGATTCTGGAAGCGAGTATAGGGGACAGTCAACTTCTTGACTTTTGGTGTAAGTAAAAAGGAAGGCAGTTAAGTTCTAGACTTAAATGAAAAAGTTATAGTGTTGGTCAAATTCTAGAGGCAAGTATAGGGACTAATCAGCTTATGAACTTTTGGTATTAATAAAAATGATGAAGCTAGTTAGGTTCTGAACTTTGAGAAAAAAGTGAAGGTACCAGTCAGATTTCAAAGGCAAGTATAAGGGTCGATCAACTTCTAGACTTTTGGTATCAATAAAAAGGATGAGACCAATCATGTTCTGGACTTTGAGAGAAAAGTGAAGGTGTCGATCATATTCTAAAGGCAAGTATTATAGCCAGTCAGTTTCTGGACTTTTGGTATTAGTAAAAAAGAAGGGGAAATCAGGATTTGGACTTTGAGAGAAGAGTGAAAGTGTCGGTCAGATTTCAGAGACAAGTATAGGGACCAATGAGGTTCTAAACTTTTGGTGTAAGTAAAAAGGGGTCAGTCAAGTTGTGTGTAACACCTTCCATTTTGTGGCCCTTGTATGAAAAAATAGAAATTTTGGTGTAGGGTATCTTGTTGTAGTAAGAAAGAGCGTCCAAAAATCAGGCTTTCTGATACTCTCTCGCTGTAGCTAGAATCTCTCACTAAAGTGAGGATGCTCTCACTGTAACTAGAATGACAGACAGTAAAGGGAAATTTTGTCTGATTTTTTCGTTACAGCAAGAGGAGGGCTCGTTGTAGTAAGAGTTAGCTTGCTGTAGCAAAAATATCGCGAGTTAAAGGGTATTTAAAGGCCTTCAACCTAGAAAACATGGATTACAATCCAAAATCTCGACCTCCCCTTTATTTTCTCTGATCTCTTACCCTCTCTTCTCAAAAATCCTCTTCTAAACTTTAATCTTCAAATTCGGGCTTGGAAGCTCAAACATTCAGATTCAAGTAAGTTTCTTTGAGCTTAGTTCTCCAACTTCATTTCTATATCTCCATTTTATCTAATCTAAAGGTTTGTACTTTGTGATACTCAAGGAAACTTTAACCCTCAAGACAATATTCTCTACCGGGACGTTGTGTCTCTCTCTTGAATCTCTAAAAAAACTCGATCTGAGAGATTCATTTCCAGGTAAAGGGAGTTGATCCCAAATCCTAACTCCTTGATATTTTGGTTTAAAAATACTAGATTTTCTTTTGGAACTCTAGAATACTAAGGTTTTCTTAAAAATCTATGTGTAGGAATAGAGAGTCTAACAAATACCCCATGCTTATTTTCAAAACCAACTAAATACAATTTATAACTAAAGCTCGGAACAAAACCATTTCAAGAAATATTATAATTTTACTAGTAAACCTTGTTCAGAGGTAATTGAAGATTTACATATTTGATATTTTTGGAATAATAAGATATTATGTGAATATTAGCTGTTACCAAACTTTAGAATAGATGACTATATTGAAATTGTATGGTTGGGCTGAATCTGAAGGTGTTCGACATTCAGCACATTGTATTGATCTGTGTGGTGTGAAATTGTTTGAGAATATTCTGTGTTAGATAAATGTTTGTTGATGACTAAGGTATGTTGAAATGGGTGAAATTATGTTGTTGATGAAAAATGTTATATTGTTCTTAAATGAAGAAAGAGTTTTATGTATAAACATAAATGATATGACATGATGAAGGAATTATGAGAGATGTGATTATAATACGTAAGTCAGATAAATTGATGTATATTATTATGATATAGGTGTTGTGGTACATCGATAGGTGTACTTATAATACATATATTGTAATACATTAGGTTGCATAATCAAGATTTACATATTATGACACGTTGATGTATAAGAAGGATATGAAGAAGAATGAGAATAAAATGAGAAATACTAAAAAAGGGAAAGAGAATAAGTATAGATCATAGAGATACACTGGGAGAGTGGAAGATGGGGGCGATTGAGAAATCTAGGAGAAATAAGGGTAGTGAATGCTTTTCTATGAAATGCGCATAATTAACAAAAATAGAGGAAAAAGACATCACAAGCCTCATACTCATTTCCTTACTT